GCCGCAGCCGCAGCCGCCGCCGCCGCCGCCGCCGCCGCAGCCGCAGCCGCAGCCGCAGCCGCAGCCGCAGCCGCAGCCGCAGCCGCCGCAGCAGCCGCAGCAGCCGCAGCAGCCGCAGCAGCCGCAGCCGCCGCCTCTACTCGTGTGCCGAACACACTCGTGTTAAGTCGAGCGCACCATCTTTAGAGCGGTCTGACGGCTCCCGTTTTGCCGATGGACTTCGTGAAGCTTTCTGCACAGAGGGCCTGAGATTCTCGTGAGGAGATGAGTGTTCTGCAACGGACCCCATTGGCGCAGGATCATTGACGTGGACCTGACTCTCAAGGAGGATAAGATCCTTTTCCAGGGCGCGCAGAAGCTGTTGCCTGGCGAAAGTAAGGCCGCATTGTTTCGCCTTCGAGAGAAGGGCGGGGTGCTCGAGCGTGGTTCTCACGAGAGAGTAGAAGGCCGCTGCTTGGAGTCCCAGCTTTTTCGGAAGTCGCCTGGGCCTACATGCGCATGCTTGCAAGCTTTCACAACGATTGCTTCGAAGCTTTACTTACCAGAAAACGACTCCATAGAAGTCGGAAGCAAGCTAGGCACTGCTCATGCGTTTCTTAGCTCCGAAACGCTCATGGTCGTGCAGCGAGTCTCTAGAACTGAAGGAGCGAATCAGGATCCCGCTCAAGATCAGGTGGTATGCTTCCGATATGCACCTCCGAACTTGTCGCGACTCCACGGGCTGTCTCGTATCCTGTAGCAGACACAGAATGGTCCGTGCTCTCTCCTCTCGACACGGAGTTAATTTTCCTACGGAACAGCACCACTTCCCTTTGTGTTTCTTCAGGTTCGGCATGCTGATCACCATGGGAGAGGCCGGAGGGCTTGATGCAAAAGAGGGGTCGTGTCGCAGTTTCAAAAAGAATTCGATCCTGAGCTCTGGCGATTGGGCACAAGAGTGCTGTGGCGGTGACAGAGCTTTTTCGCTTCGAGGCCGTGGCTTACGTCATGAGTGGCATGTACGGCAGCCTGCGGGAGATTGGCCGCTCGGGCAGAGATAGGGCACTCCGTGGCCCGCTCGGGCCGGAAGCTCCATAGGTCCTCCAAAGTCTCTGCGCGGCGAGACGCCGAAAGGTTCTGGGAGCTTGGGAGCCGGGTAGCTGAGGAGCTACTAGCGCCATCTTGATCATCCTGCAGCTCTTCTTTGCCGGGATTGTTGTTATCCTCTTGGACGCAGCTCGGCTTGGGATTGCCTGTCACTGATGGATCTGGTGTGTTTCTCTTGGCGTCTTCGAACAGCCACCCCGTTGCACCGAGCACGAAACGAGTCTCAGTCTTTTGCTGGTGAGAAGGCCACGCCAGCCGCCATCGGACGGGAGAAAGTTGTGATAAAGCACACGGTTTGCAACCCCAGAACTCAGGAGCTGATGCAGAAGGGCTATGGCATGGGTTCCGGAATCTCGCTTTTCATCGCGACGAACATCTGCGAGAGCCGCACGTCCCGGCATGACGGAAACAGGAACTCTTCTGGCTTCAAACATTGAGGTCACGGGTCTCGAGACTGGGGAGCACTGACCCTTCACTCGTCGTGTGTGACGGGGCTGTAGCTCTGAAGTTATTCACCGCATGTCGAAAAGAATGCATGTTTTCGGACCAAGGCATCATCTGGAAGGCCTGAGCAACGGTGGGGTGCTGGGGTGCGGACTGGCAGTCGAGATTAGTTTGGATCAGAGTTGAGTGGGAGAGCTTCTGACAGTAAGTTCGATTAGCGATCGGAGTGTCGCAGAGCACTGATTGCAGGCATTCTCCCCAACGACCATGAATACTGGCAAGGGAATCTTGGACCCGCAATTTGACTGTGACGCAGATCTCTCCAGCTGCATGGCACTCGCTGCGGTACCGCGATGTGAGACTCCGAGGAACCGAGTTTGAAGGTGCCATCGTTGCAACCTTCCACTTCATGGCATCGAGGCACTGAAAGTTCAAGCCAGAAGACACGTTGCCAGAAGCCACTGTCGCGCGCTGCAAGGAGCGACAAGCTGGTGGCCTTGAAGGAGGCCTTCTACAGACAATCTGCAGCTTGCTCCGCACTCTAGAACCACCCCAGCTCCGCAGCTCCGCAGCTCGCCTTCGATTGGAGACCGAAAGTGTTAAGGCGCCGAATCTCACGAACCTCTTCGCCACCGTGCCTCGACGTTGTCCATGGAAAAGGGCACTGAACAGCGGCCACTCTCTTTTCCCGAGGTCCTCGTCTTCTTCATCGTGATCTACTTCCAAGGCCTGGGCGCATCTGGGCATGCCATGCGCATGCGCACGCGCATGCGCATGCGTTCTGCACTGCACCCTCGGCCCCCCGGAGGTTTCAAAGTCGACCTGCCGGTGAAGTACCAGAAGATGCGAGGATCGCAGGCGGGAGCAGAGAGAACATGGAAAGAATACGGAAGGCCAACGAACATGAACCGATGTTTAGAGTTCCTGCAGTATTGGGTGCATGGATAGCCTCTTGCTGTCTCTGCCCCAACCAGCCAAGGTAGGCTTAAGTAACTCAAAGGTTCATTGCGTGCGAAATTTTCTTGACCAGCAAAAGAGTGCCAGTGAAGGCAGTGCCAATGGGTTTCCAGGTTTAGTTCCGTGCATCAAATCCGTGGCAGTGGAGAGCGAAGCTGAGCTCATCACCCGTCTGCCAGGGCTCCTTCCCCATCAAGCTGTTCTACACGTCCAACATTCCCATCATCCTGCTCGGAAGCCAAAGGGTCTACACGCGCAGGGATGGGCGGCTTGTAGTGAAGTCAGTTCCCACTGCGGGCCCAAGTAGAGTGCGACTCAGGCAGACAGCGCTGGTCTCGAATCTCTACTTCCTGTCTCAGCTGCTTTACAGGTCGGAGACCCCCTGACCGCCTCATTGTCGACCATCTGTCGTGGTACGCTCTCTGCGATTCCGCGGCAGGCGCTTCAAGTCGAACATGCTCGTGAACTTGCTCGGCCAATGGCAGGCAGCATCGCGATGTCTGAACTATAATGCTGTCCCGGACTCCCTGTTTTGCGCTCTGCCCTGTCAACCCAAGCACTTGTTCGAAGTTGCAGGAGGCAGACTTTGGCGGTCAATCCGTGCCGGTGGGAGGTTTTGCCTACTACATTTCGCCACCCTCCAGTGCCGGGGCCCCGGCGGGCATTGGAACCGAATTATCGGAGTGCTCTGGCGGCCTCCTCGCGAGGTCTCCAACATTTGGGAGGATCCGATTCATGCACCGTGGCAGATAAAGACTGGGCTTTTTGGGGGGAGGGGGGAGGGGGGAGGGGGTGAAACTGAGTCGCCTTCCTTTTTGGGAAGAGAGGCCCCAAGCGCTTCGGGGAGCGGCCTGAAGCCTGCGACACCAGGCATTGATCTACGTGTCCTTCGTCCTGATCTCCTGCGCGCTCTTCTCCAAGTTCTGGATCGAGGCGCCGCGCAGCAGGGGCCGAGTCGAGATCTGGAAATTCTCTTCTCTGGCCCTTTCTCACCAAGGTGTCTGGGTCCTCGCCCAGGGACGTGGCGAAGCACCTGCGAGATCAGTCCATGGTCTTCAAAGGCCCTTCTGGTCACTGTCTTTAAAGGACACTGGCACTGTAGCACTCTAGCGGCTCGCATCGCATGGAAGCAACGGCTCGGCGCTTCTGCCCCAGGCCACAGAGAAGAGTCCCTGTCCCGGGCTTGGAACAGGGTCGGCGTCCGCTGAAAAAGCAAATTCTTCGAAGCGTTTCTCGACCAAGCGGTACGCTGTCCACGCAGAGGTGATGTCTTAGAAGCTTTGGAAAAGAAAATTAGATCGTTCACCTGTTCTGCGAGAACGCGTCTGCTCAAATATCAAAGCAGCTGTTCCTGGAGCAGATGTCCTCATCATATGACCGGCGCCGAAGCTTTGAGACTTCGCTGGAGCCCTGAGCACTGAGCCCTTAGGTTGAAGGTTCTGGACATGTACATCCCTACTGCTGCCGCCTTTGGAGGCATGTGTATCGGTGCCAGCCCCAGCACAGCGAACCTCAACTCCAACTGCAGGAGCCTCTGAAGGGCTTGATTAGGCTCACCTACAAGACGCCGGCCAAGCTCGAACACGTGCACAAAGGTCCAAGCGAGACAGCAAGGCTCCATCAATCCAATGCTGCCTGTCGACTGCAGATCTCCTGCTGAACCAAAACTGGACCGTCATGCGGTCGATTAAGAACTCCTTTACTGCTACTGTTGCCGTCTTTGAGCCTTTTGCTGCTGAAGCTTCATCCTCGCTCCGAAGCGTTTTTGCTGAGCGCGTCTGGAGTCCTTGGAGTACCGCTGTTCCAATGCCTTCACTCGACCGTCACCCAGGGATGCTGACCATCATGGCAGACTTCCTGGGAGCGATCGGCAGTGGCACGGGCATCTTGCTGGCGGTTGGGCGCTCGGCGGGTTTTCGTGGTGTTCCCCACTTGCACACTTCCATGCAGCTTCATCGGCCTCCCGTCGCAGCAGGTCACCATCATCTACCAGTACTTCGAGATGATCTACAAGGATTCGGGGGTTTTCATCGACTAACCACGTTTACCTTTACGATGCGGTTCCCGAGCAACGAGAGGAGCACAACAGTGCAACCTATACACTCGCACTGGAAGGGCAAACTGAATCTTTGCCGTGCTGATCCGTGATGGTGAGTAAAGTCTCGAGTCTCGCTGCTTCGCTTGGCATGCTTTGGCTGATTTATCTTCACGGCCTCCTGCCTTTGTGTATCGCGAGGAGAAAGAGCAGGGCAACATGCTCTTCTGAGCAGTCTGAGCGCACCGTTTGAAACCCGGCTTTTGCCATCATCCCAAAGACCAATTCCTTAAGCTACCCCCTACCCCCTACCCCCTACCAACCTGAGTGAACCTTGAAGCTTGCTCCGTCGGAAAGCCGCCTCAGCTCCAGCCTTCCGCAGACTTCCTTTCTATCTGACGATGCCGCGATGATTCGTACACACACACACATGGAGATGTCAGCCATTCCCATTCCATCGACACGCTTCGGGTCGGGGCCTTCGGGGATGTAGGGTTCAAGAGACAACCTGTTCCGGGCTGCTCCGCTCTCTGCGGTTTCTTACTAGGATCAAGAACCCACCCACGCAGCGAAAGAGAGAGAATCTCCGAAAACCACAACGTCTTGCCGTCTCAGACACAGAGTTTTGACGCTTCACGGGTTCCGATCAGGAGGCAGTCCGTGTTGCCAGCTGTCACTCCCGGAATAATGTTGTGAAGTAGTTTGTACTGCGTCTTCGCGGCTCACCATGTACGATGTAGCAGAGATTCACTAGAAGTAGGTTGACTTGGCGCAGACTGCTCAGGAGGCAGGACTGGTCTGGGGGGCGTGAGCCTCTCTCCGCGCACAAAGATGTCAGGCTGCTCATGCAGCTTCTCCGATGAAGTACGAACAGCCCAACAAGATGATGACAAGATGCACACAGACATGTTGCAATATCTCGAGTTAGACACACATGTCACATGTATTGAAACTACGTTATGCTGTGCCGCATCCTTGTCCAGTCAATGTGATTCAGTTGTACCCTGTGTGTATGTATCTATAGTGTATGAAGGTGTGCATACCAGCCGTGTATGTGCATATAGACGTAGTTGTACAGAGATGAGTGACGAGTATAGAATGGATCTACATGGTCTCGGGTCCCGGGCTGGTACCCCCCCCGACACCCCCCCCCCCCCCAAGATATCCCC